TGTATAGGGCTTCTTCTGGGGTAATGAAAATGTTCTAAAGTTGACTGAGGTGGCAGTTGTACAGCTCTATAAATATACTAAAGACACTGTCTGGTACATAAATGAAATATTTTAATTTGTTTCTTTAAGAATTTCATACAAGAAGAGTATATTTATATCATCCCTCTCTCCCTCATCCCCCATTCATGACCTCTTCTTCTATAGTTATCATTACATGTGTGCACATGTGTGTGTGCATGTACATGTGCGTATGTGTGTGTTTGGATAACATACAGAGAGATTCAACCTACTGAGTCCTGTCTCTTAATGTTTTTAGAAACCTCATATTTGAGAAGTAGATTAGTAAGTTCTTATGACACTCATTGTCTTTCTCCTTAGTTTATTTGGGCCAGGAATTCTCCAGAACCAGTATTGTGACCATCTTGGCCTGTCTTGTCTGGGGCATGATGTCATGTCTCATTCTTGGTGATGTTGACCTGGGCCACTTGATCAAGATGGTATCATGGATTTGTTTTCCACCATAGTTATGACTTTTCTCTTTAAAGTCAACACTTTGGGGAGATGAAGCTAAGGTAGAGAATTGTTAGTGGTCTCCCCCGCCAAAAGTGATATAATAAACATTTGATATAAAGTAATTTGATTTTTCTTAATTAGAGGCAAGACATTTGGAGACCAGATACAGTATCTTTTGGTTGCTTTTTCCAACAGCTGATAAATTTCTGAACAGTTCTTAGCTTTTCTGAGTTTGGGGACGTCAGACTATTGACTCGTTCAGTATATGATGATTTATTACAGTAGTAACAAGAAAGAAACACCCCCAAAACAGTTAACCTTTATTTCCCAGGTACTTAACATATATATTTATGATACTATATGAAGCTAGAAACATAGACATCCAGAATAACTCCCAAGACTCCACCACTAATGCTAAATATGTAAAACTGAGTGGGACTATATGATTAGAGTTACAGTCGGACGTAACTCGGTGTGAGCATTTCTAATATCAGATGATAATGAATTACACTATCATTGACACATGAATCAACAATATCTGGGGTATTCCACATTCTTGATTGATTGTGTAGGATGGTTTCTTAAAACAACCGTTAAGAATTTGACTTTATTTTCTTTCGCTTATGTGTGTGCCTGCACGTGAAGGCTCAGAATGGATGTTGGGAGTCTTCCTTGATTTCCTTGGTTAGAAAATGGGAGGATGGGTACCCCACTAATCAGACATGACAGAAATCTGTATCCTCCAAAGCATGTCTGTTAGCAGTTGCCCCAACTCACTGCTGAACCTGCCTGCTTTCTGAATTCTGAAAATATTACCTCTCTTGTTCCTGTCCCACTTCCTTCTCCCCGGTGTCTGCTGATAGCTCCAGGTTGCTCTGCTTGGTTTTCTGTCAAATGCCAGTAAGAGTTGTCTCGAGTTCCCTTCTAAACCACTTGTTTCTATCCACTGGTTTTATTCTAAACCAGTTGTTTTTATCAATGAAACAAACCCTACAGAGTGGACCTTGTGCCTCCTGGTGACACCACGACCTAAATCATTTCTCCAGGTATCCCTGAGCACACTGTTACCATGGGGAAAAGTTCCCATCATATGCTGTGATTGGAGGACATAGTGAAAGCACACCAAAGCTTATCGGATGAGCAACAGCGTTCTGACTGAGCGTAGATTTTGGCAGACATGGAGAAGGCCTCAACTGAAAGGAACAGGAGGCCCTGGAGAGAAATGTACTGTCCTCTCACCAACCACGTGGCCTTTCGTTAATCTGTGCAGTCTCCGTGTACTTTACTGTCACCTCCATGAAACATGTATGACAGCCAATAATGTTCCCCGAGGTAAGGCTGGCAAACACTGAAGACCTAAGCCAGCTGGTGCGGAAACAGAAGCTCGTTATACACTTTTCTCTTTTCTTATATTCTTGAAACTTCCCAAACAAAGCAATGCCTTGAGGAAGGAATTACATGAGATGATGATGTATAGAGTTTAATCATGAGACTTACATATAATGCATGATAAATATGAATGACTGTCAGCTTTGGAGGTAAGTGTGACCGAGAACTATATTGAAAAGCAGAATCTGTCAAAAAGTTGTGATTTAAGTGAATTCGGTTAAGTTTGGAAGGTATCAGTTAACCTGCGTATGGAATGCCCAGTCATCCTGATACAGATTGTAAAATTGTTCTGTTATTTTATGTGTGTGGGTGTTTTGTTTGCATGTATGTCTGTGCATCGTGTGCATGCCTGGTGCCCCTGCGGTCCAGAAGGGGGCATCTGATTGTCTAGAACCAGAGTTAAGACAGTTGTGAGCCACCATATGGGTGCTGTGAACTAAACCCAGGTTCTCTGGAAGAGCAGCAAGATCTCTTAACTACTGAGCCCTCTCTCTGGCCCTCATCTTGATGTGGTAAACAGGACACCAAAATTTGGTACAAACTCTGCCATCTCTTGGTCCCATAGTCTCACTGAGGGGGGAGCCTGAGCTGCTGGTCCACGGTCTTGTTTTCCAGTAGCTCTATTGATTGGAGATACAGCTCAGTGGTGAGCTATTGTGTGTGACAGCCTGGGTCTGGTTCTCAGCAACAACTCCCCAGATGTGTTTTTCTCAGACCAAATGACTTTGCTATCCTTCTGCTTCCAATTCCCCTCATTATTCAGAACAACTCGAGCGGGCGCTGTGGAACTCCATGTTATTGCTTGTTCCAGAAGTCCTTTGACCGTCAGCCTCCCAAGAGCTGATGTCCTTAGAGGAGAGAGAGGCAGGGGCTGTGTGAAGATGGAGGTGGAGTGTGGTGGCCACACAGCAGGGACCACAGGAACCATCAGAAGCTGGCACATGCAAGGAAGGATCCTCTGTAGAGCTGTCAGAGGCAGCACAAGGCCCTGCCTGGTTAATACTTCTGCCTCCAGACCCGGGAGATGGTACCGTTCTAATGTTCTTCAGCTGCTGAGCCTTTTGATCTGATAGAGAAGCTCAGTGCTAAGACCTTGAAGAGTGAGGTCAAGGGGCGGGCTGAGAAGAGGCCCACACAGCGTGACTCTCACTGTAGAGGACATAGACTCCCTGATCTGCTGTCCTCACCACCTGCCAAGAACCAGCCCAGCCTGCAGGACACAGAACCCATGCTGGGTGGACAGAGGACCATTTTGTTTCACAGTTTGTCTGGTACATAGGTCTTAGCACTTAACTGTGGAGGTGATAAATGAATCCTGCTCCAGTGAAGGTAAGCAGGGGAGACACAGCACAAGCCCCCAAAGCACCCGCTGCTGTCCAGGATCCCAGAGGTGCTGATGAACCAGGACCACACTGAAAACCCTGATGACAAGCCAGAGTGCTTCCATGGACATCCCAAGATGTCAAAGCTTATGAACTCAGCAACACAAAGTTCACCCTGCAGAGGAAACCAACCAAAGGAAAAGGTCCCATCCCCTCTCCTCTGTCGCCACAGCTGGCCAACAGCAGGTGTCTGCCCTCCCTTCCCATTGGTCAGGTAACACCTCCCACCATCTGCTTTAATCTTTCACTAGTCACTCTAATTTTTCATCTAGTCACTAATCTTTCAGCGAAGTCAGCATTAACTCTGGGAGTAGCCAGGCTCAAGTGTAGAAGGAGCATCTTCCTCCCGTGCCCAGCGAAAGCAGGGAAGGGCAGGTGCAGCTGACTTTGAGAAAGGGTTCCTGTGCTCCACCCATACCCCACCTCCCACCTCCCCACTGGGAGTTCCTAAGGGCAGACGATAACGGCAGGTGATCGATAAACAAAGTGAGGCATAAGCATACTGTGGAGGACACATCACCCTTAAGGGGTGTTCTGACCCATGCAAGAATATGGCTGAGTCTGGAAAGCGCTTTGCTAACTGAAACAAGCTAGCCACAGAAGAGGGGATCTGCACAGTCTGCTCACACAGGACACCTGGGGCTGGAGGGTGGGGGTGGGGGCTAAGGGTGTCTGACTCATGGAAGTAAAGTATTGACAGCCAGAGACTGGGGAAGCAGGTACAGAGCTGTTTAAAGGTGATAGGGAGCTTCAGGATGGTGTCGGTGAATGTACTTAGTGGTCACTGAGTACTGAGTATGTCGCACTGACATTTTAAAGACAACTGTGGGTTGTGAGAGGAATAACTCTGAGCACTGAGGAGGAAGAAGCAGAGAAATCAAGATGGCAGATGAGCTGGGTCTGGGGAGGGAGTCTCTTTCTCAATAAATAAATGAATACATAAACAAATGATTGAAATCCACTTCTATGTCCCATCTTAACGCTCCTCTGTAAACATCCAGAGCCTTAACTTCCTCAAGGCTGACCAGAAAGCAGAAAAATGGCCAGGTCAAGTATTACAGTCTTGTAATCACAGAGCTGGGGAGGAGGGATGCAGGAGGGTCAGGACGCCAGGTCTCTTCGGCTTCACAGAAAGTTCAAGGACACAGACACAAACTGTTACAGTCCGTTTTGCTTTCCCAAGCAAGGTAGAGCGGTTGTCTGAGCTGTTGTTCATAAAGTGGGGTCCCAGGAGCAGCACAAGCCCTTTAGACTGCCAAATGCGCATGTCCTGTTTTCTCTTATATTTTTGGTTGTGAGCCTAGCCTTTAAAGGCTGAGCCATCTCTCCAGCCCACGTCCTGTTTTCTCAACTCAGCATGTCCCAGCATGGTGCCTGGCGACACACAGATCAATCACAGATCAACCTGATCAATCAAGCCTCCTGGTGATCACTCACAAAGGGAATCCTTGGCCCCAGATCCCTCTAGCCCCCCTGTTACTAGGAACAGCTGCATCTGTCCTGCCCCAGAGGGTCTGAGACCAGCAGCCTAGAAACAGGTATCCTGCAGCAGGGGTTTAAGCAATGTTAGCCTCTGTTCCTTCAAGGGTGGAGCCCGGCCGGCCCCGCCTCGCCTCGCACTCCTACAATCATACAGGTAGCCAGCTGGGCAGGGCCTGGAAACTAAGTAAGGGAGGCTGAACTCCTGCTTGTCAGTCGCCAGTCCGGAGCCTTGGAGCCGCCACAATGGGTACGTGAGCGCGGGCAGCTGGGGCGGGGTCGCCGGGAGCAGGGACACTTCTGTCGCAGGGGAGATTGCAAAGCAGGTGCCAGGGGATAGGGAACGACCCCGCACTGATGGCAGGGACTGGTTGGAGTCTGGAAACCTGGACACAAGGTTGAAGTTTCCTCCTAGGTGGTCAGACGCCGAGGCTGAGGGAATATACGCACTACTCTCCACCCGCCTGCCTTAGGCTCTCGGGTTTTCATTCTCTCGGTGCCAAGTGGCTGTAGCCTTGGAGTTGAGCGCGCTCTGTGGTGATGGCATGAAGGGCGGTACTGGAGGCCTCAGGGTGCCCCCATGGGACTTTAGGTCTGCGCTTGCCTCTAGCAAAGAGGGTGCCCCTGGAATTTTCATGGGAACTCCTGGCCACAGCGTGCGTCGAGCTGCCCCTCTGTACTATTCCTGGTTCTACTGCTGTCCTCTGATTTAAAAGGCACACAAATCAAGCAGCCAGCCCATTCTTGAGCAGACTAGAGTAGGAGTATCAGCAGATGAACTAAGAGGCAGCTTGGTGCCTGCCCTGCTACAAAGTAAGCTGGCTCTGGGAGTGACTTAGAACCACAGACGATGCCTTGAGGCCATCGGCTCCCCTAAAGTTGGGGTAACAAGCTGACTCCCCTAAAGTACCGCTTTGATGGCCAGCCTCTGCTTTTCAGGCTGCTTGGACACAGGCAGCAGCACTCCAACTTGGTCTCCCTGCATTGTGTTCATGTTGCCCCTTGCTACCCTGGTGTTCCTGCCTCAGTCCAGAGCACCCTTGGGGGCCTCGCGCCCCCCCCCCCCCACCCCGTGGACCACAACAGGAGTTTCAGAAGTAACAGCAAGGGAGTGGGTCACACCTTGGCTGTAGCAAACTGCTGTTCGGAAAAATGTCTCATGTCATTTGAGATGAACAGCATCAGACTACGTACTGGGCCCAGCTTCTAAGAGGGGCTCTGGACCCCACTCCCGACTGCCGTGCTCGGCCAAGTACGAGCTGCCTTAAGATCCTTGTATTGGACTCTGATGCCAGGTCCCCGAGTCACCACTGGATCCGCAATGTGTGAGATGTGTTTTGTCCTTCTAACAGATAGCTCTGATGGAAAGAATATAGAACAGACTTTGGAAGCATAGTGTTTCAAAGCAATGGAGGTTTCCTTATTGATAAACTAACTGCTCCTCAGCTGGAGTTTTGCATGGCTTGGGAACAGAAACCAGTGACTGTTTGGTTTGTAGATGTCTCAGCTTTTCCATATCAAGAGCAAGGAAATGGAAAAGATAATTAAAAGTTCTAGTGACTCCCCCTCTTGAAAACAGTGGTTGGCAATTACAGTGTGTCAGAATTGTTTCAGGTGCTGTGTGATTGGCTATGACCCTAAGAATACTTGCTTGGGGAATGGAAGGAGCAGGCAACAGGTCTTAGAGAAACAGGTGCCCTGAGCCACTGACTTCCTCCTGTGTGGTTCAAATGGGTGCTCACACCAGGGGCCTCACTCCCCCTGGGAATCCAAGGGGCAAAGTGATGAATGACTAGGAAGGAGAGAAACAGGCGTGACTCTACATCACCCACAGGCTCCGCAGCTGCCTGGTATGTGGACACCCATGGCTGAACCTGAGCACCCATGGTTGAAATCTTAAACTTTGACTTGTTTTTAAGTAGAGATCAGTAGTCTCCTGTAGAGAAGAGCATAATTGTAACACCCGGGCTCTGTCTTGGTGTAGAAACAGCCTCAGACACTCGGTAAACACGTGGGTGGAGCTGTCCCAATAAAACCAGTTATAGGCAGGCATTGATGTCAACTTTTGTATGGTTTCTTTTCAATTTTAATTGTCTTTTGAAAAAATACCTTTTAAATTTTTAGTGAATTTTATTTATTGATTGTGTATGTGTGTGCGCACACCTGATCCATCTTTGTTTTTGAGACAGAGTCTTATTCTGTAGCTCAGTCTGGTTGAGACCTGAACTATGTAGCCCAGACTACCTCAAACTCATAGCAATCCTCCTGCTTCAACCTTCCAAGTGCTGAGATTACAAGTGTGAGCTAACATACCTGGCATTTATATATTTGTTCTATGTACTTGCAAAACAGCCTTCAATCTTTTCAATTATTTAAAAACAATGTATCACTCTTGGCTCCTGAGCTGCAAGGCAGCTGCGAGCCCCGACCTTTGCCTGAAGATATGGGTGATGAAAGAGAGACTGTTTCCACACTGGTCTCTTAGGCTGTCTGCTGGAAAGAGGCTTCTGAATAACAGAAACTCTCCCAGGCTGGGGAGACTCCTCAAGGAGGAAGGGGCAGCCACAGGACCTTTGGGAGGCTGAGGAGACTTTTATTAAAGCTTTCTAACACATGATCTCTTTCCTGTTTTTACCCCCTCTTATTTAAACTTAGAGCAAAAAGCTATGCTGGGTTTGATGGGACTATAATACACATTTCACACTCCAGCCTCAAAAACCATGTCTCCTGTTCACTCGAGTACTTGACTCTGAGGACTAGGTACAAGAGTCAAGTTCTCTGAAGGAAGCACCCTTCCAGCTCCCAAGGCTGAGAAGTCTGCTTCCTTAGTAAATCATGTTCTATTGCATGCCTTCCTCAGATCTCAGCCTTGTTTGTGTGTCTTGGGAGTTTTCCCAAGTCAGCCTCTTGCTTGGGTGTGAAAAGATGAACCAGCCTTGCAGGCACCTCCCTCCTGCCCATTTAAAAGTCCTTCCCCATTCTCTCCCACCTTAGAAGCACTTGGCTCAACCAAAGTGTCCAGGAAGCTGGTGTCCTGCTCCAAGCTGAGAGTGAGCAGCAGGTCACTGAGTACACGGAAACCCAACTAGCACAGCAAACGGGAGCTGAGACCCAGCTCTTGCCGACAATCTCTGAGTTTAATTTTACCTTCTTGTTTGTTTATTTTGAGATGACAGAATCACAATTCAAATGCTTCATATCTGAAAAATGATCTTAAACTTCTAATCCTCCTGCTTCCACTTCCCAACTGTTGGGATTATAGATGCGTACCACCCATTTTTATGTAGTGTGCAAGATCAAATCCAAGATTTTGCCTATGCTAAGCAATCGATCTACCAATAGTGCTCCATCCCTAGGCTGGCTTCTATCTTGGGCACACCCCCATCATCTGGATGAACACCACCCCTAGGGTCCTGGCTCCATGGGGCTGGGGTGGGAGCCAAGGATGGCCTGTTTATAGTGTCCTTACTGCTTCTTCCAGTACCATACTCTGAGAGTGACAGCTTATGGTGGCTCTAGATGATCATAACTGACAATGCATTCTTCTCCTTGACCCTCACCCATGTCTAAACTTTGTTATTGCAGTCTAGAAATTAGACTGTGGTAATCGGTAATAATTAGTCCAGCCTGCCCCTGGGTACATATGAGTATGTGTCTGTTGTGCTGTGTAGATTTGTGGCCGATTGAAAAATGGCTAGGGAGGTCGAGAGAATCTAAGTGAAGTGCCGGCCCACTGGAGCTGGCAGAATGAGCCTAAAGTCCCTGGTTTATTCAGATGTTCACTCCCATGGACGGCCATAGAACAATCCTACATCCTTGGGGCAGAAATCAGAACTCTTAGAAACACTACAGATCAAGCACCTACACATTTGGCTGGTCCAGCTTCCAGGAAACTTCATCAGCAGAAGGGTAGGCTCACGTTTTGTCCTCTCAGGAGAACCACTCTGGATAGAATGGCCGAGTATCGTGAACTATGAGTAGAGGCTGGGACTCCTCAACCTCACTGTGTTCCAACTCTGGGCCCAGAGCTCCATTACACAATAGCAAGTGGACTCTATCCCCTGCAGGAGGGAAAGTGGGTAGGTGTCTCAGGAGAGCAGATAAGGAAATGAAAACAAGGGTGACTTCTGAGGGACATCCATACATTCCTCACTGATGACAGAGAATAGGCAAATGTTACCAGGAGCCAGTGACAAGGAGTGACTGAGAGATCCTGTAATGCTGTGGTTGCAACACAAGGAACCAGAGAATCTCTGTTTTGTGACTTTGTCCTTTGGTTTACAAGCACAGTTGCCACTGGCTGACAGGACAGAACTAAAGCACATGTCAGCAGTTAGAAAATGCTATTGCTGGGACTGGAGAGATGCTCCGTCAGTGAAGAATGTTTGCTACTCTTCCAGAGGACCTGTTTAGTTCCCAGCATCCACAATGAGTGATTTACAACCTCCTTTAATTCCAGCTCCAGGGGCTCTACCAACATCTTCATGGGCACATTAACACACACACACACACACACACACACACACACACTTACAAATAAAATGAATCTTTATTTAAACAGAAGAAGAAAAGAAAATACACTGCCCAGGGAGAGGAGGGACAGGATCCTCCTCCATAGACTATAGAACGGGAAGGTCTCCCAGGTGTTTAGATTGCAGCCTGCCTGCAGCCCCCACTACCGCTACTCGATTACAGGAGTTCCCATTGCAGGGCAGGTTTGCCCTCCACCAGATACTGTGTGGGAAGATGTAACACGTGCCTCACTAGGAAGTTTTGGTCCAAGAATCAGGTTCAGGACTAGAAAGAATACAAAGTATTCTTGGATAGGAAGACTCATCCCAAGTTCTCAAACCAATCCAATTAAAATGCCTACAGTGGGCAGGGAGTGACAAGATTTTGTAACAAGGTCTTTAGGGCTCCCAACAGAGCTCTGTTCACTTGTAGATCTGAGACGTTCTTGAGGAAAAGAACTCTTTTCTCTGTTCAAGCCAAACATAAGAACTCACATCCTGAGTGTTCTCTCATGACTCCCATAACTAAAGTAGCACTGTGTTCTAAAATGACAGGAGTGTTTCCTCACAGACACAGAGGCTGGGAGTCCAGTCAAGTTGTTAGGAGGCTATGCTCTGTCTGAAAGCTCCAAGGGGCTCTGGTCCGGGCCTTTCTAGTGGCTTCTAGTGGCATTGCAGCCCTGAGCTCAGAGGCATTATCCAGTCTCTATGTCCACTGTCATGTGGTCTTCTTCCTGTG